AAGTGTCAATGAAAATGAAAACACAACCGACGTTGAACCTATGGGACACAGCTTAAGGCAGTCCTGAGAGGAAAGTTTATAAACCATGAAGTGAAGATGAAAAAGACTGAAGAATCCCAAATTCAATGACCTAATGATACATCTCAAACTCCTAGAACAAACAAGAACAACAAAATCCCAAAACAAATAGAAGGAGAGAAATAATAAAAATAAGAGCTGAATCAACAGAAATAGAAACCAAAAAAAACATACAAAATTAATGAAACAAAAAGTTGGTTCTTTGAAAAAAATAAACAGAGATCGACAGACACCTGGCAAACCTGACTAAAATGGGAAGGAAAAAAACCCAAATTAGTAGAATGAGGAAGGCAAAAGGGAGATAACAACAAAACACCAATGGAATCCAGGAATCATCAGAGACTACTTTTGAGAACCTATTTCAAATAAATTTGAAAAATCTTAAAGAAATGACAGATTTCTAGATACATATGATCATCCAAAACTGAACCAAGAGGAATAATCACCTGAATAGACCTATAACACAAAATGAAATTGAAGCAGCAATCAAGAAGTCTCCCCAAAAAGAAAAGTCCAGGCCTGATGCATTCTCTGCTGAAGTCTATCAGACCTTTAAAGAAGAACTGATACCCAACCTCCTTAAACTGGCTCCACAAATAGAAAGGAAAAAACTGCCTAACACATTTTATAAGCCAGTATTACACTTATCCCAAAACCAGGCAAAGACACTCCAAAAAGAGAGAACTATAGCCAATCTCCTAATGAACATTGAGCAAAAATCCTCAACAAAAATAATGGCAAAACCGAATTCAACAACACATCAAAAAGATTATTCACCACGACCAAGTAGGCTCATCCCAGGATGCAGGGTGTTTCAACATACGAAAATCAATAAACGTAATAAACCACATTAACAGAAGCAAAGACAAAAACCACTTGATCATCTCAATAGATGCAGAAAAAGCCTTTGATAAGATCCAACACCATTTCATGATAAAAGCTCTAAGAAAACTAGGAATAGGAGGAAAGTACCTCAACATTGCAAAAGCTATATATGACAAACCTACAGCCAACATTATACTTAATGGAGAAAAACTGAAACCATTCCCTCTAAAATCAGGAACCAGACAAGGATGCCCACTATCCTCACTCCTATTCAACATAGTACTGGAATTCCTAGCCAGAGCAATTAGGCAAGAAGAAGGAATAAAAGGAATATAAATAGGTAAAGAAACTGTCAAAATATCCCTATTTGCAGATGACATAATCCTATACCTTAAAGACCCAAAAAACTCTACTCAGAAGCTTCTAGACATCATCAATAGCTATAGCAAGGTAACAGGATATAAAATCAACATAGAAAAATCATTAGCATTTCTATACACTAACAATGAGCAAACGGAAAAAGAATGTATGAAAACAATTCCATTTACAATAGCCTCAAAAAAAATCAAATACCTAGGTGTAAACCTAACAAAAGATGTGAAAGACCTCTACAAGGAAAACTATACACTTCTGAAGAAAAGATTGAGGAAGACTATAGAAAGTGGAGAGATCTCCCATGCTCATGGATTGGTAGAATCAACATAGTAAAAATGTCATACTCCCAAAAGTAATCTACATGTTTAATGCAATTCCCATCAAAATTCCAATGACATTCATTAAAGAGATTGAAAAATCTACGTTAAATTTATATGGAAACACAAGAGGCCACGAATAGCCAAGGCAATACTCAGTCAAAAGAACAATGCAGGAGGTATCACAATACCTGACTTCAAACTATATTACAAAGCAATAACAATAAAAACAGCATGGTACTGGCACAAAAACAGACATGAAGACCAGTGGAACAGAATAGAGGACCCAGATATGAAGCCACACAACTATAACCAACTTGTCTTTGACAAAGGAGCTAAAAATATACGATGGAGAAATAGCAGCCTCTTCAACAAAAACTGCTGGGAAAACTGGTTAGCAGTCTGCAAAAAACTGAAACTAGATCCATGTATATCACCTTATACCAATATTAACTCAAAATGGATCAAGGATCTTAATATCAGACCACAAACTCTAAAGTTGATACAGGAAAGAGTAGGAAATACTCTGGAGTTAGTAGGTATAGGCAAGAACTTTCTCAATGAAACCCCAGCAGCACAGCAACTAAGAGATAGCATAGATTAAATGGGACCTCATAAAACTAAAAAGCTTCTGTTCATCAAAAGAAATGGTCTCTAACTGAAGAGAACACCCACAGAGAGGGAGAAAATATTTGCCAACTATACATCAGACAAAGGACTGATAACCAGAATATATAGGGAACTTAAAAAACTAAATTCTCCCAAAACTAATGAACCAATAAAGAAATGGGCAAGTGAACTAAACAGAACTTTCTCAAAAGAAGAAATTCAAATGGCCAAAAAACACATGAAAAATGCTCACCATCTCTAGCAATAAAGGAAATGCAAATTAAAACCACACTAAGATCCACCTCACCCCTGTTAGAATAGCCATCATTAGCAACACCACCAACAACAGGTGTTGGCAGGATGCGGGGAAAAAGGAACCCTCTTACACTGTTGGTGGGAATGTAAACTAGTACAACCACTCTGGAAAAAATTTGGAGGCTACTTAAAAAGCTAGACATTGATCTACCATTTGATCCAGCAATACCACTCTTGGGATATACCCAAAAGACTGTGACACAGGTTACTCCAGAGGCACCTGTACACCCATGTTTATTGGGCACTATTCACAATAGCCAAGTTATGGAAACAGCCAAGTTGCCCCACCACTGACGAATGGATTAAGAAAATGTGGTATCTATACAGAATGGAATTTTATGCAGCCATGAAGAACGAAATGTTACATTCGCTGGTAAATGGATTGAATTGGAGAACATCATTCTGAGTGAGGTTAGCCTGGCTCAAAAGACCAAAAATTGTATGTTCTCTCTCATATGTGGACATTAGATCAAGGGCAAACACAACAATGGGGATTGGACTTTGAGCACATGATAAAAGCGAGCACACAAGGGAGGGTGAGGATAGGTAAGACACCTAAAAAACTAGCTAGCATTTGTTGCCCTTAACGCAGAGAAACTAAAGCAGATACCTTAAAAGCAACTGAGGCCAATAGGAAAAGGAGACCAGGAACTAGAGAGAAGGTGAGATCAAAAAGAATTAACCTAGAAGGTAACACACACACACAGGAAATTAATGTGAGTCAACTCCCCGTATAGCTATCCTTATCTCAACCAGCAAAAACCCTTGTTCCTTTCTATTATTGCTTATACTCTCTCTACAACAAAATTAGAAATAAGGGCAAAATATTTTCTGCTGGGTATTGAGGAGGTAGGGGGGACAGGGAGGGGATAGAGTGGGTGGTAAGGGAGGGGGTGGGGGCAGGGGGGAGAAATGACCCAAGCCTTGTATGTACATATGAATAATAATAAAAAAAGAGCAAATGAAAAGAGTGCTACAATAGACTTAGTAGATTACTAAATAAACTAATTCTTTCCTAGAGTGTAGAGTAAAGCATGAACAAATAAAAATATAAAATCTTTAGTTAGATGCTAATTAATTATACAATCATAGAAATTCATGTACCAAGAACATACAAATTATACCTAGAAAATTTTCAAAATCATCAGTTAGCTAATAGGTGATTTTCTCTAATTAGAACAGGCTGTTCACTCCTTTTCTATTAAGTACAATTCGTACCATTAAGCTCTTCTTTCATTCTCTTATTTTTACGTTAAAAAGTTACCATGATCCAAAAGAAATCTTGTGGCTGTACTCAAGGCTTTTACAGTCTTGCTGGGTTAGTGATGTGTCATTACCACTAAGTTTGAAAGAGCATAAAACATCTATCCTGCTTGATGCTAAATTGCATAAGCAGGCGTTCTCATGAATAAATGTCCACTGACATTTCTGAAATAAAAGGTTATTTTTTAAAGTCTTTACCATGTCAGAGCTTCCATATATCACATCTTTCACTTCAGTTAAGTCTATAGAAATCATGAAAAGATTTTTGAGTACTTGAGGGTGGTACCCTGCTAAAGCTAAAAGCCTGTGATATTAGATAGCTGCTACTGTTTTTCCCTTTATACCAGTGCAAATGGCAGAGACAGTAGCTGATTGGATTTAAGATTGTTGAGCCAAGCCATCATAGAGCAGACATTTTAACTTGGTACCATTTTGCCCGAGATAAGTTTTGCTAAATAAGAATGCCTATTTCCTTCCCCTCTATATAGAACTTGTAATTGAGTATGATACCCAGTCTGTTAAATGAAATCAACATCTATACTAATACAAAATATTTAGGTAATACTGTTCTTAGGCAATGCAGATATTTGCCTAGTAATCCTGGGCTTCCATATACTTCCCACAAATAGTTCAGGAATAGTTGAAAACTAGACTTTAAACCAGGCCTTGAAGCTGAAATATACTATACTGTGGCAAAGGAGTAATTTACTAGTGACAGGAGAGGCATTGAAATAACAGAGTTATTATTGATTTGTAATGGTGTTCTTTAGTTTGCAAACATTCTTGAGAAAGAATAAATCCTTTGTCACAAAATTTTCATATTTCTGCAACACTCACAGCCAATTCTTATATGCTAAAATTCCTATAGTGTGCTAGAGTGATCTTACCTACTTCACAAATGAACTGTCTAAATTAGAAATCCATAGAGAACATTTTTCCTATTGCAATTATTTTGATTCAGGGCAATGGTTCTCACAGCTGCAACCACTTTCCCTCCCACTTTTCATGGTGAGCAGCAGTATGCATTCTAAGAGTGAGTCACAAAGCCAAGGCTGGTGGTCTCTGAGATACCCTGGTCAGGAGACAGGGCAACTCTAGTTGGGCAGTTGTGCCATTGAACAAAATAATGCCAATTAGATAGACATCAGCAGAATCCTATACCATATTATGACTATAGTATGCTATAACGTATGTTTCATATAATATGTTCTTTCTCAGGTTACTGCTTGGCCTCATTTGTATGAAAAGCTACCCTTGGAGACCAATGGACCTACGCCCCACATTCCCCTAGAAAAAACAAAAAAGGGTAATTTGCTGGGTCCCCATCAGAATGTCATTGAGAACAACCCTGACATTAAGCGGCACAAGACCCTGGATGCTGAGATCTCTCAACAACCTGGGGGCAACAAGAAGCTTGAAACCTCTATCCAGGATGCAGAACCTGTTTGCATGGAGCACTTCCGCAACCGCCATGTCTACCAACAACAACTGATTGAGAAGCAAAAGAAGAAACTTCAGGAACAGCAGAAAATCATTCTGGAACTGAAGGAAAACCAGCGGCTCGTGGAGGCTCAATGGGCATCTAAGCATGCAGCAGCAGTCAAGAATTCTCAGAACCACCTCCTGTCAAATCCCAGAGAAGCAGAGGACCCAAAAGGAACCTGCCAGGTGCTTTCAAAGTATGTCTGTTGTATCAAAACACTCTTTTGAGTGTTTTGTGGGTTGTTTTACTTTTAGGTAAAAGAGGTTCCTGAACTCCTTTGCCCTGCTTCTGAACTTCATGATCTTTACTTCTATTGTGCACTCTCAAAGCTAAGAAGCCTTAGGTATTGTGACTTGTACATGACAGGTATAAACATATTTAAGGCAAATGGCTGCCCGTAAGGATCCAATTATACAGTTAGCATTTGGGTCATGGCTGTCTTTGTCTGAGGAACTGTTCAGTAAGGGAAAGAGTGGCTCAAGTCTGTAATCCTAGCTACTGAGGTGAAGATCAAGAAGATTGTGATTTGAGGCCAGCCTGGGCAAAAAGTTCACGAGACCTCATCTCAACCAATGTCTGGGTGTAGTGGCTCATACCTGCCATCCTAGCTACTTGGGGAAGCACAAATAGAAGGATTGTGGTCCAGGCCAGGCTGGTCATAAAATGAGACCCCATCGCAAAAATAATGAAAGCAAAAAGGGCTCAAGTAGTAAAGTGCCTGCCCAGCAAGCACAAGTCCCAGAGTTAATCCCTAGCCCCAAAAAAGAAAAACAAAATTATGTAGACGGCTGAGAAGCCACGTTGGACACCAGGTCCACATGGAGCAGCCCCTGGGCTAGCTAATTACTTAGCTTGAATTAGTAGTTGTTTAGGATAAAACTACATCTTTGATCTGGAATAAGAGTCCACATTTCCCAAAAGTCATTGAAGATAGTTAAAAGTCATTAAGAGGGTGATGAGCTGTGCTTACCACATGTTACAATGATAGGATAAGTGGTGATACCTATTGACGTGAAGCACTAGGAGGGGAGTCAGAGTGCTGGACTCTCTTGTAAACTCAAGCCAATGACAAGCTTCCATACCTCATTGCACCAGTTTATAGGGCGGGTATAATAATATGCTGTTATTTCACAGGGAGGAATTGATAATTTAAGTTTGTGAAATGCTTTGAATTCTCAGATGCAAAGGTTTTGAAGGAAACTGATTATTGGTATGAATTCTTTTCCTTTCGTTTTTGTTTTTTTTTTCTTGTTTTCTTCCAGTATATCTGCTACTTCCTCAAAGACTGAAGACAGTAGAAGTGACTCCCGAAATTCTCATTCTGGACCTAAAAGGAACCCAAAGCATATGATGGCACCCCATCCTATAGTGAAAGGCATGGCTGTCTTGTTGATGGCATAAGTGGTGGCTGTTTGCTCTCCTAGAGTAAAATATGACTGGGACTGAATCCTGGTAACCCTTAGGTTTTGAGACTTGGGAAAATCTTGTCAGAATTTAAGATGTGTAGACATGGGGAGAACAGAATGCACCAGAGAACGCCACAACTTTTTTTTCCTGCCCTTGTTGCCAACTTTTTTCTTTGGTCTTCTCAGCTAACACACACACACACATTGTTATGAAAGGTGTGTCATTTTTCTATAATTTAACGTTTGGATTGTGTAAAAAGAATGTGAAAATTACACAAATGAGAAAAGTCCAAGTAATTGCCAAGGTCATTGGTCACCTACCATTGTATTTTGTTAATGCTAAAATGTGTATCTGTTTATAGCAACTCAAATCATTATATCATTTTATAATAAGTTATGCCTTGATGATGGGATTTTAGTAATGAAATCTTAATTTGATAACACTTTTGCTGCATGTAGAAACCTTGATTTTAAAACAAAATAATACTATGTGAATAGGGACATTCCTCAGAACCCAGCTAGCAAATCTGCTAATCATGTTCATCATTTACTTAGTCACTCACAATGCATGTTTTTGTATATGGTTGTCAGCACTCTGAAAATTATGCTGTGGTTTGTAAGTCTGACCTTTTAAATCTGCGGTAAGGCTGCTGTCCTAACAAGAAGTGGATGACATCTGAAGGACACTGTTCCTGCAGTCAGTTCCTGTCCATGAAAAGACTGGAAGTGTTTGCAATGACTGTCTGCCTAGACGGTGGCTTCTGCTGTCTGTGCCCACCACTAATGCTGATCAGGAAATGCCTAGTTCAGTGATAAGTTTCTAAAAATTATCCTTTGATCAAGGAGTTAGCTATTTTACAATCCCTGTCTATTTTTCAAGTAGTCTTTAAAATTCAATCTAAAAAAGATGGGGAAAGGGCTTATTACTGAGGCTCTGCTTCTCAGGGCTTCCTCTCTTTAATCCTCTAGTCTATTTCTGCCTCCTTAAGGACAGTCTCACTCCCACTATCTATGGCACCACCACTAATCTTTTGTGGCAAAGCAGACACTTAATGTCTGTAAGAAATAGCTTTGTGAGTTTTTTGTTTATTAATTCTTAAAACTTGGACTTAAATTCTCTTCTTTGTAACATGTCCCAAGGAACTGAAAGAAACTATTGGCTGGCTTAGGTGAGCAGAACTTGATCCTCTCCCTACACTTGCCCCTCCTTCCTGTGAAAGCCCCTACTGATTACAGAGTCATATTATCAGGCCATCTTGCACATTTGTTTCTTTTGGATCGATATTTAATAGACTGTCAAGAACAGCAGTCTGACACTCAAATTTGTTCTGATGCCAGTTCTCCAAATGCCTGGTAGACTTCCATTTCCTGCCCATCTGGATAACCAGGTCTTAAAACTAGATTAAAATGTATTCATCATAATGACCCCAAACTTTAGTTTTTTTGTTGTTGCATATACACACACATGGATGGTAACTTAAGAAAAATTAGCAGGCCCACTTAAAATGGGATTTAATGAATGTTTCTATTCACAAAGTATTTGTTAGATGTAGATCAATTTTTCTACATTCATCAAAGATATAATTAAATTAAAATTCTGTTTCTGAGTTTCATATACTAAAAGTGTCCATCACAGGCACATTATCTTATTTAAACCAGTAAAGATTTCTCCTAATAAAAATGCAAATAAAAACACAGTCTATAAATTTTTCATCATTAGTGAGAGTGGGATTTTAACTTGTAGAGTATTTACAAGTTCCATATGTCTGATTTTCTTTTGAGATAGTGGACATTCAATTACAAGAAAGCCCTAGTGATAACCCTAAATGTTACTATGAGATGGAGACATTACTTTTGCAGTATTCCTCATATTTTTTAATATTGGAATTATGTTACTATTTTTTAGCCATGGAAGAGAGAGCAGTTCAACGAGCTGAACGTAGGCGGATCTTGGCAGAAAAGAAGAAAAAACAAGAAGAAGAGAAATTGGTAATAAATTCAGAATGCAAACTGAGGCAAGAAAAACAGTTTGTCTAGATCTTTAAAAATGAAACCTTGCTAATTCAAGCCTCCAGAGATGATAGAGTTAAACCAACTTTTAAACAAATAGCTCATGGCTTACTCACCTGAATTCTGTGACACTTTTAGGAAAATAAGGGGGTGGTGAGACGTCAACATCACTAGCAAATGGGAAGATTGACACGTAACCACGAATATTGTGTTATAGGTTGATGTCTGACCTGATGAGTTTGCAAAGGAGAACAGTTCTTACAGACTTAACTGTCAGAAGTAAATTTTGCATCTCCCATGAAAAAATTAACTGTTCTAACAGTTTTGAAGTGGGAGTGGTTTGGTGAAATAAAAAAAAAAAATTTCCCCACACTGGACTTAGTATGTCATAGGTGCAAGACCTAAAAGAACTAAAAAATAAAATCACTTTGTTTTTGCTTTTGTTTTGTATTTTGAGACAGTTTTTTTTTTTAATATATAGTCTAGGCTGGCCTCACACTCAAGATCCTCCTGCCTCAGTCTCCTGAGTGTTGGGATTATATGCATGTACTGCAATGCCCAACTTTTTTAAAAAAATCATTTTATGCTGAAAAACTAGTTCAGTCTCACCTTCCCCAATAGAAAAGAATCCTTTCAGAGAAACTTTAAGTTATACAACTGATCACATGTTGGTTGGGTTTCATGCTTTTATCACCAAGTGCAACTTTTTCCAGAGACAGTGCAGGCACTTTGGTAGATGCTTGACTTGTTTTAACACAAAAGACCTTCTTTTCATGCAGATGGAGGATTCTGATTTTTCTGCATTCCAATCTCAATCAGGCCCAGTTTAAGGCCCAAGAGGAGGAACGTCAGAAGAGGGAGGCAGAAGAAAAGGAAACTCAGCTTGAGAAAAAACGAGAAGAGAAGAGACTGAAGAAAATGGTTAGTAGTGTCTTTGGTCAGTCACCTGTCTGTGGAGGTCTATGATTTGTGATTTTTGTAGCCTTGCCCACCTTCCCCGCCACAAATCTGTCTGGAATACTCTTCATCTTTTATCCATCTTATTGTGTGAAAAACTACTCATTCTTCAGATTTTATATCATTCACGACTTCTTCCAGGTTAGCCTCCCCTGCTCTTTCCACTGTCCTGCCCAAGGTTAGATTAGGTCTCCCTTTGCGGACTCTCCTCAAGTATCTTTCCTTCACCACATACTCTTGCTATAGTTATGCATCTGTTTTATGGCGCTATTTCATTTCTCCATCCCCAACTAAAGTGTATTCTCCTCAAGAGGAAAAGAGGAGTCTGGTGTTGCTCACCATTGTGTTGGCTAGTGGCATGCCAGAACATAGGAGGTACTCTGCAAACGTGTTTTGAGTGAGTGAATAATGGAAGAAAATATACACAGAAGTAATAAGAGACAGAAATCTTAAATTCTAGTTGGGAAGATAAGGCTGAAATATATAGACTAATTAGAAACAATATGATACTGCCATGCGCTACACTGAACGAAAGCGATCAAGAAGTTATGCAAAGCTAGATCCATAAAGATTTTGGGGACATTAGAGCATTTTTTTAAAATTTTGTGCTAAGTCAGTCTAAGGAATTTCTAAAAATAGCTATTTCATAATTTAAAAACTATGGTGAGGGGTTCCAAAATCACATTTCCCCAATTTGTATTCCATGTAATCCTAATGCCTCTGAGATAGTAAGTTATTTTGAGAAAGTATTAAGTTCTGAAGTCAAATCATTTTGGAGAATGTTGGCTAAGATAAAGTTAAACAAGTTTCCATGTTAGTTGACTTCTCAGAATCTTTAACATACTACCAGACATTACAGGTCTCCAGAAGAGGCACCCAGTGTGCCAAGTAGTCACATATTTCTGATTATGGATCCCTTGTTATAGACCACCCAGTAACATATCATAGAATAATTTGAGGTCAATTATTGTAAAGCAATAAGATAATTTTTAAAATATTTTCTTTCTCATCTGTTCATTGTACAAAATTTGAGAAATATAAAGAAGATGGAAAAAAGACTCTGAGCTTAGTATTGAGTTAACTACTCTTAATATCTTAATATCTGAGTATATCTACTTCTAGTCTTTTACTCAGTGCATATCTTTCTCTCTCTCTGTCTGTACTAGGGTTTAAACACAGTCGTTCTATCACTTGAGCCCTGCCCCCAGCCCAGCTATCTTTTACTAGGTTGGTCATTGTGTGTATGTAGATATATATAGTTTTTAAACTTAAAAAAAATTTTTTTTTTTGGTGGGACTGGGGTTTGACCTCAGGGCCTCACACTTGGTAGGCAGGCATTCTACCACTTGGGCCACTCTACCAGCTCTTAAAATGATTTTTTAAATTTTAAATTCCATCATGACTATATTCATTTGCCAGCCATAATTCTTCAAGATCTTCTAATTTGTATATTGCAGGTCACTTAAAAATAACCTTTATTTTAGAATAATAGAGGATTTACAGAAAAACTGCAAGAGTAGAACAGAGAGTTTCCATGTACCCCTCATTCCATTTGTTATTCCTGATGTTATCATCTTATATTACCATGATACATTTGTTACAATTAAGAAATCAACATTAATACATGCTTTTAATTCCAGACTCTATTTGAATTTCACCAGTTTTCCCACTAATGTTCAAGATATAATTCAGGATGCCAAATTCTATGCAGTTGTCATGTCTCCTTTGTGACCTCTGGCCTGTGACAGATGGTTAATCTTTTCTGTCTGAAGATTTTGACAGTTTTGAGGACTGCCTGTCAGATATTTTGTAGACGGCCCCTCCATTTGTGTTTGTCTGATGTTTTAATTATTCTGGGCTAACAGAGGTTTTATGAAAGAATAAAATCAAGATGAAGTGTTCTCCTAATCACATCATAGCTTGTGGTATATGATATCAAGATGTTAACCTTGACTTGGGTGTTTTTTCATGTTTACTTGCCATTTATTTGTCTCCCATAATGAAGTTTCTGTTTAAATCTTGTGCTCATTTTTAACTGATTTGTTTATTTATTGTTGTTTTTAAGAGTACTTTAGATAGTCTGGACCAAGTTCTCTGTTAATAGATAACTTGCAAATACTTTCTCCCAGTCTTCAACTTGTATTTCAGTTTACTTAAAGGCATTTCACAGAGGAATGTTTTTAATTTGAATGAAGTCTAACTTATCAATATTTTCTTTAACAGATTGTAGTTTTTGGTATTACATTCAAAAACTAAACACCAAACTGAAGGTCAATCAGATTTTCTATTACTTTTTGTTTGTTTTTTTCTTTGCCTTTTTGAGACAGGGTCTCTCCATGTAGCATGGGCTACTTCAAATTTGCAATCCTCCTGCCTCTGTCTCCCAAGTGCTGGGATTACAGGCATGTATCACCGTGCCTGGTTTCTAGCATAGCTTCTTTAGTAAGTTGTGTAGTTTTACATTTCACATTTTAAGTCAGCTTTTGTTGTTGTGACAAATATCTGAGAGAAGCCATTTAAAAGAAGGCAGGTTTTTTGTTTGTTTGTTTTTTGTTTTTTGGTTCACAGTTTCAGTCCAAGGGCAGCCCTGTTGCTTTGGGCCTAAGGCAAAGCAGAACATTATGGCAGTGGGAGCATGTAACAGAGACTTCTCACCTCGTGGCAACCAGGAAGCAGAGGAAAAAGAGGCAGGGGACAAGATACATCTTTCCAGGCACACCCCCAGTGACCTACCTCCTCCAACCAGGCCCCACTTCCACTTTTTACCACCTCCCAATAATTCTATCAGATTATTAATCCATTGATTAGATCAGAGCCTTAAGAATCCAGTCAATTCCCAAGAGTCTATTAAGTGGCAACCAAGCTCCCTATGAGCCTGTGGAAAACATTTCGTAGTAAACCATAGCAAGTTCTGTGTTCTGTTTGGAGTTAGTTTTGCAGAAGGCATAAAGTTCATGTCAAAGTCATTTTTTATATAGACAGCCAATTGTTCCAGTATTATTTAAGAAGACCATCTTTTCAGCATTGAATTTTGTACCTTTTATACCTTTGTCAAATATCTGTTAAGTGAACCAATACTACTTCTGTATGAGTGTATTTCTAGACTCTGTCTATTCTGTTGATGTTTACGTCTGTTCCTTTGCCAGTACTAAAATGTCTTTGATTGCTGTAGCTTTATTGCCAATGTGAATTCTCCTACTCCATTCTTTTTCAGGATGTTTTGGTCATTCTAATGCTTTTACCTTTCTTAATAAAGTTTAGATGAATCTTATTGATATGTCCAAAAAAATCATACTCTAATTTTCATTAGGATTATATTGACTGTAGACAAAATTAGGGAGAATTGACACCTTAACAACATTGAGTTTTGAGTGCATGAACACAGTGTTCGTTATGTGTATGTATATATGTGTGTGGGTAATACATATTTTCTTTATCATTTCATCTGATCCATCCACTGACAGACACTTAGTTTGTTTTCATATGCTTGCTATTGTGAATAATGCTGCACTTAACATGGGAGTGCATTTGTACTTTCTCTCTCATTGCCTTATGCTATTCTTGCATTATGTCATATTTTGCATTTATTTGTACTATAAATACCCTGCTAAAGTTATTGATTTAAATAGTTATATTAGTGGAATTAAAAATAAGATAATTATATTTTCCCTTAATTTTTTCCAATATGACGTTCTTCACCTCTTTGTATAGATCTAAATCCTTAGCCTACATCAGATTCTTTCTGCCTGAAGATTTTTAACATTTTTGTAGCATAGTCTTCTGACAGTGACTAAAGGAATTGACATTGGCATAAAGACTGAGAAAGTCTTATTTCTCCTTCCCTTTTTTGGGTGTGGGCGATGGTACTGAGGATTGAACCTGGGGCTTTGCATAGTGTTTGCTAGGCAAACATTCTACTACTTGAGCCACACCCAAAACCTTCTACTTTATTTTTGAGGGATATTTTTGCTAGATAAAGAATTTGGGGTTGACATTTTTTCCTTCAGCACTTGAAAGATGTTACTCTATAGACTTGTTTGCCCAGTTTCTAAAAAGAAGTTTTCTGTATTTCTTATCTTTGTTCCTTTGTAGATGTCTTATTATGCTTGGGCTGCCATAGCAAAATGCCATAGAATAGATGGCCTACCCAACTGAAATTCATTTTCTCAAAATGTGGAGGCTGGGAAGTCCAAGACCAGGTGCCAGCATGGAAAGGGCTGTCTTCCTGTTTTTGCAAACAGCCCTGTTCTTATTGTATCCTCACATGACCTTTCCTGGGTGCATATGCATGAGATCCCTCTGGTAATCTTTCCTTATAAGGACTGTAATCCTATCCAGTCAGGGCCCTACCCTTAGGACCTCATTTAACCTTAATTATTTTCTTAGTGGTCCCATGACCAAATATAGCCACACTAGGGGTTAGGGTTTTAACATATGGACCTTGGGGTGGGGGGTACACACATTTAGTCCATAACTGTAGGCAAAGTGGGTTTTTACCCTTACCTGCCTTCAAAACTTAGACTTTGGTTTCCAGCTTTTTGAATATAATATAGCTAGATGTGATTTGTTTCTCGGTTGGCTTGTGTCCCTTCCTTCGTAGTCTTAAGCTTCTGAGACATACACTGGCATAACATACTTGGATATTCAGTAACCCCACCTCATTTTACAGATTTACTACAAGCAGGTTTGACCAAATGTAGTCAAAATAAATAAATCAATAAAGAAATGTAAAAAACAAACATTTCAAATTCTCATGCACGCATAACTCAGCTCAGTTGATGCAGAGAAGCTCTTAGTCCTGAATCATTGGCAATTATGTTTAAATCTGTGCACCCTGAGCATTGGGGGTTTTTTCCTCAACGGTGGTCTGCTTGGAACTATATATCCACAGGTACAAAGGGTCTACTGTATGTTTTTATGTTTTGTCATGAATTTCAGAATATGTTCACCCATTATTTCTTCAA